GACAACAACGACACTGACGTGATGGACGAAGTCGCCACCGCTGCGTCACTTAGTTGGGGTGACGGGAGCAGCAGCGATGGAATCGCCGATGACGTCAGCGCCGCAGCGGCCGGCTCCGACGCGATGATGGACGACGCGGTGCTCGATGAGCTGCAGGACGACGGCGTGGGCGGCGGCGGCAGCAGCAGTGGTGGCGACATCCTCGACGAGGTGGCGGGCGACTTGAGCTGGGCGCAGGCAGAGAGCGACTTCGCAGAGGCCCTTGCGGGTGCGAGCGATATCGACGAAATTCTAGCGGACGGCGTGCCGCTGCCGAGCGACGATGCGGCCACGGCGCCTATCACGGAGGAAATCGCGCCGGTCTCCTCCTCCGCTGCCACCACTTCCGTTGAAAGCGTGCTGGACGAGCAGCTGAGCGGTACGCCGGACTCCGTCAGTGTCGAAGATGACGCTGTCGCCGTATCCTCTGCAGCGTCGGATCCCGACGACGCCGATGTGTCGTCGGTGATGCCGGCCTCCTCCACAACAGCGTCCGACACGGCGGTGCGGCGCCACTACGGAGGGAGCAGCAGCAATCATGATGAGACCGATTCCGAAGAGAGCGCGCTCGATGCGCTCGAGTGTGACATGCACGAGGGGAAGCCACGCCGTGTAAAGGCGCTGGAGTCGGTGCACCCATCAGCCTTCTCTCCCCTGTACGCCGCTGATGAGACAGAGACTACAGCAACCGACACTCAGGCGTCAGAGGAGAAGGTGCACAGCAGTGATAGTGAGACATCTCAAGAATGCGTCTTGCGGGCGACGGGACAAGACGTGGGTGTATTGGAGTCTGCTGCTATCGCTGCCGATGTTGTGTTGCCACCTCGTAGTGAGCAGGTCGCTGCGTCTGCACCACCAAGCGATGTTGCGACAGATAGGCCGTCGCATTCCACCGCACTGAGGGAGTACGCTGCTGACGACCTTGTGGCCCAGTTGGAGTGGAAAGAGCGGCAGCTAAGCCTCTTTCGGCAGCTACGGCCAAAGTCTGTTTGGGCGGAGGAGGGCGACGAGAAGGATGCTGATGCAACAGAGCCGGTTGAGGGGAAGGCGGATTATCACTGGGGCATGCTGGAGACACTCTTGCAGTGCCGCTTTGGCGGCGAATCTGCCTACAACTACGACGATGAGGAGGACGCTGATGAACGCGACGACGCTGACGACGGAAGCGGCTGGACAGACGCCGACGAGGTGAGTGGCGTGAACGGCCAATCGAGCATCGACGTGTCGGCGGACGCAGAGTACTCCGATGCGGTCGCCTGACGGTAAGTATCGGCCGACCGCTGCGCCACGCATTGCGCCATTATACATTTCCGTATATATATATATAGAGAGAGAGAGAGAGAGAGGTGGGGAGGACCATTTCTCTATTGTTGCAAAGCATAGACCCCACATACACAGTTTGCGTTGCAGGAGCGCCAAAGCTGCCCCTCAACGTCTTGCCATTCAACGATACACTCGCTTGGTTGCTACTGTGCACGCATCTCCGCGCATGTGGGTGTGTGTTTCTGTTTCTGTGCTGTGCTGACCCCGCAACGTCTCTTTCTCTCTCTCTCTCTCTCGCTCCTTCTTTCTTTTGTCTGTGATGCCTCTCGCTTACCAGTGGTGCGGAGACTGGGAAACAACAGGAGAGGAACGTGGCGAAGAGACCGTAGCGCCTTGGGGTTGTGGAGCAGCAGCAATGAGCCGGCAGAAGTGGAAGCGGCACCGCTCCGAGTTTCTCGACGACGACTGCGGCCAGAACGCCCTGCAGTTGGCCGCACGCGGAAGCACCATCATTGCGGAGATCCTGCGTCTCTCCGCACATATCCCGCGTGAATTCATCCGCCCTGAGGAGACAGAGTACGCTCCTCTCATCAGCGACTTCCGCTACTTCAAGGCGCAGGACGAGTTCGAGAAGAAAATCCAGGATTCCATTGAGCTGCTGCAGAAGGACGAGATCTTCGCCAAGACCCACATGGAGCTCCTTGATCGCTTCTTCAAACTGTTCCGCGGTGTGTATGGCTACGTGATGGAGCTGAACCGCTTCATTGAGGAGATACGCGAGGGCATGTACATCTCGCAGACGCTCGAGTCTATTCTGGTGAATATTGACGGCAAACAGCTGCTGTGTGAAATTCTGCACCTCTACGGCGTAATGCTGCTCCTGTTGGACTACAAGGTCGGGGGCAAGACGCGGGAAAACCTTCTCGTGAGCTACATTCGCTACAAGGGCGCTGGCGAGCCCAACATGGTGGAGGTGACGAACTTGTGCCGCACGACTGGGTACGAGTTCGACCAGACGCTTCCGGAGTGCTACCCGGTCTCGTACTTCAACCGCGTCCCCATCGACAAGGAAGTGGTTGGCATGGTTATTGGGCGCATCCGCTCCGACGACATTTACCAGATGGCGTACAACTTCCCCGCACCGGAGCACCGCAGTGCGGCACTTGCGCTGCAGGGGGCCGCACTCTATGTGTTGCTGTTCTTCCGGCCAGAGATGCTCCACCACGAGGGCCCTGTCATGCGGGAAATTGTCGACAAGCACTTTGCCGACAACTGGGTCATCAACTACTACATGGGCTTCACGGTGGACCTCACCATCGCCTGGCGGGACTTCAAGGCGGCCAGCGCGGCCATCAGCGGCACTGTTGCGGTGGACAACATAGCGTACCACCTCGAGAGGATGCGCGGCAGCATGTCGAGCCTCAACACATCCATTGGGGAGGTGCTGCGGGAGGGCGTGTTGACGGAGCAGTACGTGCTGGACAACATTCACTCCGTTCTGCTGCCCCGTATCCGCGAGGCCAACGTGGTGCTGCGCTGGTTCATCCTGCACACCACCCGAAACGGGCCTTGCAGTCGCTACCTCGAGAAGTATAGGCGCGCGTATGAGATGGTGGCGGGCGGCGTCACAGAGGACGACATCATCACACTGCTGCTGCGCACCGCACAGCTGGAGTTTACGCTGCGCGCCATGTTTACCGCCCTGCTGAAGCAGAAACGTGCCATGTGGGAGGCCTCACGGGAGGAAGGAGCGATGAAGATGTCGAAGTTGTCGACATTCTTCTCCGGGGAACATGTGCTCAGCGACAATGTACGTGACCCGCAGCTGGAGGCGTGGTTTGCAGAAATATCGGAGCGCATAAAGGGGCTCGAGTACGCCGACAGCATAGTTGCCAGCCGTAAAATTCAAAAGTTGATGAAGGCGCTTGAAAGCGTGCAGGAATTCCACCAGATTGACAGCAATCTGCAGGTTGTGCAGTTCGTGCAGGACACGCGGTTTCTCCTGCGGCAGATGATACGCTACATCAACATTGAGAACAAGGTGCTCATCACCATCGCCACTGTTGGCGACCTGTCATATGCGTGGGAGCGCATGGCCACGTACCGCTACTTTGTGGAGGCCATTCAGATGAAAATCAAGCAGCGGCCGGATCTTGCTGTGCAGATGCGCGCCGTCTTCGTGAAGCTGGCGTCTATGCTCGAGCTGCCATGCAACCGCATTGATCAAGGAGCGCAGAATGACGTGCGTCTCTTGGTGGCGCTGGAAACCACATCGGAGTACTACTCTGGCGAGCTCGTCGCCTTTGCACGTGGTGTGCTGCACATTATTCCCATCTCCATCTTCGATGTGCTGCGCCGCATTATGGACATTCTAACTGACGGCCTGCGCGAGTGCCCAACGAAGTTGCTGCGCAAAGAGATGAGGAACGAGAGCCAGTTGGCGGTCCGCCAGGTGCTCTCTTCACTCACGGCAGACATCGCCAAGTACGCGAGCGGCATTCTGGCGATGGAGAGCACGCTTGTGGGCGTGATTCAGGTAGATCCCCATCAGCTGCTGGAGGACGGAATTCGCAAGGAACTCGTGCAGCAAATTACACAGGAATTACACGCCTCGCTGTTGTTTGATCGCAAGAAGCCTCTTTCGGCCAAGGCGTTCGATGATGAGCTTGCCCGTCTCGCACGCAAGCTCAACGGCATCCGTGCGTCCTTTGAGTACATACAAGACTATGTGAATGTGCATGGTCTCCGCATCTGGCTGGAGGAGTTCTCTCGCATCGTCAACTTCAACGTGGAGATGGAGTGCAACGCCTTCATGCAGAAAAAACTGTACCCGTGGAAGTCACAGTACCAGTCGGACAGCATTCCGATTCCATACTTCCAACGCGCCAAGGAGAGGTCCGCGTACAGCTTCCTGGGCAGGATCGTGCAGCACCTCCTCGCCATGACGGATCCCGTGCGGGCTGTATTTATGACGGCATACGGCTCGTGGTTCGGCCGCGATTCTCTTGAGGAAGTTGTTGGCACGCGCACCTTTACGAGCATCTGCGAAGCGATTGGTTCCATGGGCCTCGGCGCACTTGACCGGCTGCTCTGCTTCATTCTTGCAAAGGATCTGCAGCTGCTGTTGAAGGCTATTCGCGCGGCAGTGGAACCTGTGGAGGAGGATGTGGCGGCGATCGGCGAGCAGCTATGCCCCGCCAGCGACACGCCGGCCAACGCGACGCAGGCCTACGAGAAGCTCGGGGCGGCGCTCGACAGTAGCAATGCGCACTTTGCGGAGGTAACAAAGATTCTTGTGCGCATCGGTCGCATTCAGCTTATGCGTATCATGATTGCAAACGAGCTGCGTTCTTTCTGCAAGCTGAACAGTGGCTCCCTCTTTGCCGCGCTTTCGACGGCGAACGAGGGGCTGCTGACGGACTTGCGCCACCACTACCACAACCCCGACACGCACGCGATGCCAGGTGACGTTATTGCCGTCATCTCACCCTTCCTCGACTGCGTTGGCATCAGCGATGCGCTCTCGAAGGTGTACGTGACGCCGAAGCCGATTCCTGTCATTGTCTTCTACCTCCTCGCACTGACGCTACGCAACGTGCCACGGATGCGCTACGACGAGCGCTTCGCTTCAATGCTGCCCGCGCAGCCGAAGGACCTCGTCGATTCCGAGGCATTTGTGAAGGGACTGGCGCTCCTGCTGAAGCAATTCCACTCGGACCAGCTGGTGTTGCTCATGAGTCACCTGTCGCAGGCGGTGCGTGTGCGTGTGTGTGCCTTTGCCGAGCCAGCGGTGCCACGCCAACCCGAGGACGTTCTGCCGACGGAGGCGGAGACACTCACGCATGTCATGCACGCGCTGGCGGCGGCGTCTGGCACGCCTCTGCTCGACTTGCACCGTACGCTGCCGGCCGTGTTGTGTGGCGCTTTCCGTTTGCCCACCCAGCGATCGAAAAGATAGATGGCGGTGATGGAGGTGACTGCACGGCAAGGGGTTGGGGGTTTGTTGGCTTCGTAGCACGTCGCTGTGGATGCTGGTGGGGTATCACTTTATCGTTGAGCTGCTGTATGAGAAGGAAAGCGCAGGAAGAAAGAAATGCTGTTGTTGTTGTTGTTGTTTTCCCCCATTCTTTTCTTCCCTGTGTGAGGGGTGCATACATACATACTGTCACATCGATGCCTCTATGTGTCTTCGGTCTTCTGTGCAATGTTTCGCCCGCCACTTTTTTTTTGTTGTGCTTTCTCTTGTCTCGGTCGTCTTTCTATTGCTATGCTTTGACGCCGCATCTTGCAGCGTGCACACACCCCCACACCCATACATACGCAAGGAGAAAGAGAGAAGAAGTCTGACAACAACGAGAGGTGGTGGACTTGAACGGGAGATGGAAGGAACGAGGGAGCTGGAGTTGGAAGTGGAGACGACACGCCGCAAGCTGCAGGAGCTCGAGTGCCGGCTGGACGAGCGGCGCCGTGCTGAGGCTCAGAGAGCTGCGAATAGCAACAACGACAACAACAAGAACGGCGCCAGCGACAGGAAGAACATAAATGGTGGTGCCACGCTGACACCGGCTTTTGTCTCTGCAGCGAGTTCGCTGACCAAGGACGACGTCGAGCGCTTCTCTCGGCAGATGATGGTGGATGGAATTGGCGCAGCAGGAATGGCGCGCATTCGCCAGGGCCGTGTCCTGCTAGTGGGCGCCGGCGGGCTCGGCAGCACCGTCGCACTCTTCCTTGCGGCCGCCGGTGTTGGCGAGCTACGCCTTGTTGACTTTGACACGGTGGAGATGAGCAACCTCCACCGGCAGGTCATTCACACCACCGATCGTGTTGGTTGGCGCAAGGTGGACAGCGCGGCCGCTGCCTGCGTCGCAGTGGACCCGCACCTCAACATACGCGCGCTGCCGGTGCAGCTCGACGCCAGCAACGCGGAGGAGCTCATGCATGACTGCGACGTTGTAGTGGACGGTACTGACAATGTGGCAGCGCGCTACCTCATCAACGACGCGGCGATGCGGCTACGCAAGCCTGTTGTGAGCGGCAGTGCGATGCGCTGGGACGGGCAGCTGTCCGTATACGGCTATGGCGGCAGCCCGTGTCACCGCTGCCTCTTCCCTGTGCCGCCGCCAGCGGAGGCAGTCGGCAGTTGCAACGACACGGGCGTCGTGGGGCCGGTGCCCGGCTGCATCGGCTGCTTGCAGGCGATGGAGACGCTGAAGATACTGGCAGCGGCGGGCGATGTGTTGGCGGGCCGCATGCTGCTCTTCGATGGCCTGCGCTTCCGCGTCCGCGTCGTTAACCTCCGCCAGCGGAAGGCAGACTGCCCGGCGTGTGGTGACGCTGTGGAAAGGGACAGAACCCTGCAGCAAATCGCGGAGGAGCGACCCGAGTACGTGATGGTGCCGTGCGCATCGGGCCCGGCATTGAGTGCTCGACTTCTGCCTGCAGACGCACGTGTTTCGCCGCGGGATTTCTATGCCGCTCTCCAGCAGGTGGGTGACACTGCACCGAAACGGATTGTTGTGGATGTCCGCGAGAAGGAACAGTACGACATGGCCCACCTGCCGGTAGCCGTCCCGTTGCCGCTGTCCCGCTTGCATAAGTGGCAACGGGACGGTGTGCTTCGGGAGGAATGGGGTCGTTTCATCAAGGATTATTTCACCAACGGTAAGGGCCGTCTGGATGTGTACGTTGTGTGCCGTAGAGGAATTGCATCGACGACGGCTGTCGAGATGCTTCTCCCGTTACAGCAGCCAGACGAGTGCACTGGTGGTGAACGTGGTGGTGGTGGTGTTGGTGACAACAATGGTTGCAACGAGAGTGATGTTTCTGATGATGATTGTGTGGCGGGGAGATCGGCGTCAGGAGCACACTTCCGGTTTATGAATGTGGAAGGTGGGCTTAACCGATTCCACTACGAGGCGGATGGTAACTTTCCATTTTATTGAAAATATGAAGGTGCCGTGTTTTTCTTTGTTTTTGGCCTGTTTCCAGGAGTGTGTAAGCCAAACCTTCCACGGTATACTTGTGGTTAGATCTTGGGAAGAGACACCCGTTTCTTTGTGAGCGTGTTGTGCGCTACGCTTGCGCGGCGACTGTAGTCGGGTCCCCCTCGTTCTTTCATTGTGTTCTTTGTTACCTTTGTTGCGTGCCGCTGCTGGAGTAGCGCGGTGGCCGCGACAGCATGGCGTCGCTGCGGAGTTCGCAGATAATCATGGCACGCTCACCCGAGCAGCTGGCGTCAGACGATGACATTGGACCACCGCCTGTGAGCGACGAGGACAATGAGGCGCTCGTGCTGTCACCACTACAGATCCCCAGTATGACGAACGCCAGCGACGGCGTTCCAATGAGCCCCACTGTTTACTCGCCGCCGTCCTTCTCGACTCCCATGCTGAGGCCTGTCGCGCGGCCAGGTACATTAAGAAATGCGTACATGAGCAACGAGAGGGCCGGCGTCGCCCGGCAGCAGCACAACCCATCGCTGTCGCTGGTGAGAGCTTCTGCTAGTGGTGGTGGGGTGGCCGCAGTCGCCGTCTCCAAGACGTCGCACGTGCGGTCGCCGCGGTATGCCTCGGATGAAGAGTCATCGTGGGCGTCGGCCTCCATCAGTCGCGACATGCGCCGGCAGCAGATGAGCACGGGTGGCGGTGTGCCGTTGTCGGTCCCAGTAATTACAGCAACAGCAACAACAGGCGGTGTCCGCGATGCGCCACCTGCTGTGGTGACGGTGTTAGACATGGAGCAGGCGATACAACGGCGAATGCAGCAGTACCATCAGGCGACGGCTCTTCTAAGCAGGATTTCCGTCACGCGCGACACGGATCAGGAAAGCGCGAAATCTGACGACTATTCAATGGGCGGTATCACGCAGCCAAAAAAGATTTCGGGCGAATTGGATACGGGTCGTGACGTTCATAGTTTCGTGGCATCCTATCTATCGGCCAATGGATACAAGGAGGCGCTGCGATTGTTCAAGAAACGCCTCCCACTCGCCGAACAGCGGCTTGACAGCTGCCTGCAGCGACGACATCAGTCCCACAGCTTGGCCGCTACGTCTGTAACACGCGAAGAGCGTCGTGATGTGGAAGCGGTGCCCTCACCAACGTACTCGCTGAACCGTGACGACTTGCTGCTGCTGGCGCTGGAGAGGGTACGTCAGGAGCAGCTGCTCAACGACAGCCTCCCCTGGCGCGATATCAACTGCCGGCGGAAGGACTATCGCCTCGAGCCGCTGCAGCACCACCAGTACTACTTCGACCAGAACGAGGCGCGGCGAGACAATGGAGGCGGCGACAGCTCGCCAACATGCAAAGTGGCGTTTGGTGGGTCGCTGGACCTCCTCATTGAGGTGCTTATTCTCGTTGAGACGGACACGCCCTTTGCAACGGGGATGCCGATCTTTAACTACACCAATACCTTCATCCTCCTCTCCTCGTCGTTCGTCATGCCTGAGGTGCTGATTGTGCGGCTTATTCGTCTATTTCGCTTCGTGCAACAGCAGTTTCTAAAAGAGGATAGCCGCAGTGTGTTTCTGCAGCGTCGTATCGTACAGTTCATAATGGCGTACTGCAAATATCACGAGGCTGACATCACACACTCCCTTTTGGAGCGGCTGCAACGATTTGTGCGGAGTCTTAACGCCCAACGACTGGAGGGACACCATCTACTGGACTCCATGCAGACCGGCAGCAACACACTCTTGCAAAACCCAATTCCTCCAAGTCAAAGACCAGGGATCTTTCCCACAGTGGCTGCGGAGGTTGCGCTGCGCCTCAATGAGTTGTCTGCATTTATAGAGGAGTCCCTTCAGAAGGCGTACTACGTCCCCCGTGAAGTGGCTCACAGTTTCGGCTGGAAGCGGCGAGTGGCGGTACCAGTGAAACCGCTAGGCACAATTGTAGCGGGGTGGGGGAATTACACGGACACAGAGACGGCGCGAAATACACCCTCACCCTGTTTCCCTCACACATTAGGAAGAGCAGCTTTGGTGGAAGTCGTCTTCACTGGCGTGGATGCCAAGGAACTTGCAGATCAGATGTGTATTCTATCATTTCGTCTGTTCGCCAACATTCACGTGCGTGAATTACTCGACAATGCGTGGTGTGAGGAGATGATGCGGATAAGTGTGCCGTTTCATTTGACGCGCTTCATAGACTTTTCCTCCAACGTGCAGAGGTGGATGGCGGCGGTGATTGTGTGCCCTAAGCGGTGGTCGGAGTGCCTGGCTTCGATGCAGCACGGTGTGCAGCTTTGTCGGCTTCTGTACGACAAACAAAACTACGAGGTGGCGGCAGCTGTATTGGAAGGCCTACAACATCCGGCTGTAATGGCGTTGGAAAGTCTGTATCAGAAGCAATTTCAGCAGCACATGCTGAGCAGCGGAATGCACGGCGAGCTGGCTGCCCTGCAGCAGCTGATGGACCCGTTTGCGTCCCAAGACAGTCCATCGTCCCTGCACTCAATCAGAAGCCGCGTCGCAGGCGACATGGAGGCGCCGATGATTCCGCTCCTCGCGCCGGTCCTCGGCGTACTGTTCCGCACCGAGGAGTCAAAGGGGAAAACAGTGATGGTGCGGAACACCGACGGGGTGCCCGTGGTGAACTGGAGCAAGATTGTCGCGCTCGGCAAGACGATCTTCATGTGGATCCGCTGCCAGAGCACGCCGTACGGGGGTCCACTGGATGCAAGGCTGCAGCAGTATCTGTGGCAGCTTCCAGGCCACCAGTACACCGACTCCACGCTGATGGATTTTGCAAAGCAGGAGAAGTTGAACTGACACAGGAGTGACGAATACGCCTACAAGACTCTATGGCTACATTATCTCCGGAGGAAAGCACAATGTTTCTCACCAAATCCTCACCAAAGTGGGTATGGGAGGCCCAGCATCTGCATACTGTACATCTTTGCCTTCTGTCTGTGCATTTTTATGTTTGCTTATGCTTTTATCTCTTTTTTTTGTAGTTGATAGCAAGGTTGCTTGTGTTTACTTCTTTTTTTTGCTGAGGACTGAGAGTCAAGCATGAGTCGCCCGTACAGCAAACACAGAGGCCGAGGCGGCGGTGGAAGTGGCCGTGGTAACTTCGGCCGTGGCCATGCGTCGCAGAGCGACAACGCGCCAAGCGGGCGCGGTGGCCGTTGGAATGGACGTGGCGGTTGGCAGGGAGGCAAGAACAACCACAACAACAATAACCATAACAACAACAGTAATAATAATGATAAGAACAGTGGTGGTGTAGGTGGTGGTGGTGGTGCGGCGGCTTCTGTGATGACGACGCTATTGGATCTACTCTTCCAAAAGTCGTCCGGCACCATCTTCTGTCCAGCGAACGGTATGCTGGACCTTTCGAACTTCCACGACTCTCCGGACCTCGCCAGCGTGCAGCGCAGTGTAGATTTCAGCAGCGTGGCCTTCTGCAAGAGCCTGGCCGATGTCGTCAAGAATCGCATCGGGACCTCGCTGCGTATTCTTGTCCTCAACAACAATAACATACGCAAGCTGTCGTCGTTTCTGACAGCACTGGAGGAGGCCGACGTGCACCATGGCGTGACGACTATATCTGCAACAGGCAACCCGATTTCCGACCTCACCTTCCTTGGGCCGCTGAAGAAGTACGGCAGCCTCGTAGAGTTGCTTCTGGAGGGTGACCCCGTCACGACACGAAATGACTACAGGGCGCAAGTGACCAAGAGCCTGCCCAAGCTTATGATGCTCGACCGCGTGTTGATTGACCGCGCACTCTTGCGTCTGCCCAATCCTCTGCCCGCCAATCTCCACGAGGCGCAGATCAGCGTGCTGCAGTTCCTTGAAGCCAGCATGTTCGCCGCTGCTGCCGCTGGCAACTACGACGCGATGGTGAACATGTACACACCCGCCGCAGTGTTCAGTGTGAGCCGGGCAGAGGAGCCCATCCCACGCCGCCTGCCCCTCGACGCGACGCACAACTGCCAGATGCTGAGTGCACCCCAGCGAAACATCATAAACAATGATTTCGCCATACTCCGCAAGCACATACAGTGGCGGAACATCTTCAGCGATGTACACTCCCTGCGCAACATTTCTACCGGCCGCGCAAAGGCATCTTTGGCCCTCCAATCGATTGGTGGCGGCTCAAAGAAATTCATCAGTATCTCGCACGAGCTAAACGGAAACGCCAATGTTGCCTTCCTCTCGCATAACATGAAGGTGCCGACGTGCGTGCTGACCGTCCATGGCCGGCTGTTCTGGCATTGGGCTCCGAAGAACAGCGACGGTTCTAATGTGCTGCCAGAAAATGTGACGCCATTCTTCAGCTGCTTCTTTGACCGCACCATGACACTGCTGCTGGACAATGCCACCTCCACGTGGTCAATCCAAAACGACATGATATTCCTGCGTCCTGACCGCACAGTGGTGCATGAGAATGGGACCCCAAGCTCACCACTCTTCTTCGCCAACGACTCGACGCGTGTGGAGGCCATGCGGCGCCGCTACCTACCGAAGGCCACGCCGGAAGTTATGCAGACTATAATTGAGCACCTTGGTAGCGACGCGGATCTGCAGGCATTCGCTACGGAGCACCTGACGAACCTGCCACAGGAACGTGTGATGCAGGCACTTGAAGACCGCGCCGCCATGCTGGAGCTTCTCAGGGGATAGCAAGTGTTGTATTAGAAATAAGTAACTGTAATACCAACCATGATTGTTGAGTGCGGCTGTGATTTCACTGCGGTGTGCCTAGAAAGGCCCGTGCCGAGCAGTAGAGGCGCTTGTGTTCCCATATGTCCGTGTAGGAGAACCATGCAAGGGGTACTACCGCAGTATAGATCAATGAGCACCGCGTGTGTTTTGCTGCTTATTCCGTCTCTCCGCTCTTCTCCGGTTTTCTTCTTCCCCATCCTTTGCTCCTTTACGTGTCATCGCTCGTCCCGTCACGCAACGCCTATGAGAGGCTGCGCGACGGATGGAGAGAGTGTGCGTGGACTTTCATATCTAAAAAGGTTAGCTTTAGTGTTACACATGTCATCTGATTAACGGCCTTCGTACTTCTTTCTCTTTTTTTTTTTTACCGGGACGGTTGCCTCGAACTGCGTGACACCTTGCGCTGACATTTTTTGTGTCGTCTCTCCCGCCCCGAGAGTCCTTTGCCTTCCTTTTGTTTTTGTTTTTTTTCGTGGCCGCGCTGCTCCGCCCACCCCACACTTCCCCAGCATATGCTTGCCTGCCTTAATGCCTGCCGTATCTTCTGTGTTGACCACTTTGTGATGCAAAGCGCGGCGGCGCACCCAAAGTCGCGGGGCGTGTGCCACCTGGTGGGATGCGCGGCGTGGGCTGCTCGCCACGCAACACACACCACGCAGTGGCGCGTGGTGGTGGTGGTGGGGAAGCGTCTACGCGGCGCCCCACCCACCGCTTGCCTGGGAGCACAAGCAAAAGCACATGCACAAACGTCTGTGGTGCGCCTTGTGTTTCTCCCTCTCTCTCTCTCTCTCTGCGTGTGTGTCTGTGTGTGTGTGTGATTGTGGCACAGCGTCACCGGCGGCCGCTGGCACGGTGGACGGCGCGGTGTCCGCAGCACCACCAGCACTTGCCTTGAGGGAAAGTGTGGACAGCGTGTGGCTGTTTTGGGGCAGCGGCTCAACACAAGTATACTGTTGTTGTTGTTGTTGTTGTTGTTGCTGCTGCTTCTGTGAGTGTATTTGTGTGGATACAGTACCAACAGCGAGCGGTGACTGCAATGAGAATAAAGAGAACGATTGCATGTATATATATATATATATATACATATGTGTATACGGCACGTGTGGGCACTGGCTGCGAACAAGAAAGCGATATGAGGAGTGTGGGTGTGGGTCGGAGCTGCGCCCACAAAGGGGGCGGGGGGTGGAGAGCGGCCAGAGGTGTTGTGCTGCTGGGCATTAGCGACGGTTTGCGGGGCGACCTTTCCTGATTTTTTTTTTATTTCTCTTTCTTTCTTCACACGCGATTGTTCCAGCGGGGCGTGTGGGCACCGCGACGTGGCATGAACAATGAGAGAAGACAAGAAAGAAGAAACAAAAAAAAAATTGCTGCACGAGTGGGGGATGCCGCGCTGCGGTCCTGCGTTGCGGTGCCGTGCTGGCGGCTGCCGCTTCGACTGCCGCGACCATTCCATAACGCCTTGCTTCGCTTCTGCCGGCCGACCTGACGGTGCGGAGGGCGAACGCTGGGCGTGGAGTGGAGAGAGAAAGAGAGAGAGGAGAGAGAGAGAGAGAGCTGTGCGTGTTGGGCGGCGTATCCGTCCATCCGTCGCTTATTTTTGTGTGTATTATCATATCCGTCTCATCCGCTCTGTGTACATGCGTTTGATTTGGGGCGTGGAAGGGGTGGGCGGTTGCTGCGCTCTCGCCGCCACACACACACACACACACACGTATTGTTGTTGCTGCTTCTGCTGCGTTGGTATTGCTCCGCTTTGTTGTCTTCACTTTTTGGTTTGTTTGTTTCTCATGCCCCCCGCCCTGCTGTTGCCAGAGGAAAGGAAGCACACACGAAAGAGTAGCGCGGCGTGGCATCCCGGACGCGAGAGAAACACTTGGGACAAAAATGTACGCCTCACACAAGAAGGATATCAACCGCCACAAGAGCTTCCACCCGCTGACGTACCGCAACCTGCGCAAGGTGGAGCAGCGGCAGGAGGACGAGGAGGCACAGAAGAAGGCGGACGCCGAGCGCGACGTGCAGCTGCGCCACGATCAGGAACAGCGGCGCTACGACGACCTTGTCCTCGCCGCCTCCGCCGACGGCGTCAGCGGGCAGCTGGCGAAGTTCCGGCAGGTGGAGAACATATTCGCCGCTGAGGCGAAGGTAGCAGGCGGGAAACACGCGGGGACGGCGGCGGCGTCGGCGGCCATCGACACACCACCACTCCTGCAGCGCGGCACATTGGCATTCAAAAAGGAGGAGAAGGAGGCCGATGAGAAGAATGTGCGGAAGCGTACACGCGAGGATGATGAGGCACGGAGCAACAGCAAAAAGAATAGCGACGGCAAGGGCGAAGTGGTCACGGGGTACATGTCGACCTCCGATGCGGCAAAGCTGCGAAAGGAGTTGGACACGCTGCAGAAGGCGCGGCACGACCCGCTGCGGCGCATTGAGCGGTTTCAGAACCGCACAGTTGCTGCTGAAGCGAAGCGGCGTGCGCTCGAGACGACCTCAACGACCACCACTTGCGAAGGCGCGGAAAAGAACACCATACGCAGTCGTATTCAGGAGCTGCTGGAGATGAAAAAGCGGAAATGATGCCTGTGTGTGTGTGTGTGCAGCCGGAACGCCCGCCGGTGGCTGCGGCTCGAGAGCTGACTTTGCTTTGAACACCCGCCCTTAGTTTGCATGCTTGTGTGTAGATGTGTGTTTCGCGTTATTTGCCAGGTGGGACTGTGCGTCCGTGTCTGTCTGTCTCTCTGTCTGTCCGTCTGTGTGCCCTGGCTCTCTGCGTGATGTGTGCATGACGTGTCTTTGTGTGTTCTCCCTCTCTCCACCGCCGCTGCTGCCTGGCGCACAACAACAGAGGTAGAGGAAGAAAGCCGACAAGAAGTGCGCACACACCCGCCCACACACACAGACACGCAGTTACACAAAGTGAAAGACAGGAGATAGTGTGTGTGTGTGTGAAAGAGAGAAAGAAAGCAAAAGGCCAACAAAAAAAAAAGAAAACAGAAAAGGAAACATAGAGTAACGAGGAGGAATGCCGACTCTCGCTGTTGCACGCGATTACCTTTTCAGTCTCATTGGGAAGAAGTACACGGAGGAGCAGTTTGAGGACATATGCTTCGAGTTCGGCGTGGAGCTCGACGACGTCACGAGCGAGCGTGAGATGTTCCGCCGCGAGCAGGGCGTTACGGCCAGCGCAACGAAGGTGAAGGAGCTCTCCGATGAGGTCATCTACAAGATCGACACGCCCGCCAACAGGTACGACCTGCAGTGCACCGAGGGCATGGCGGCGGCGCTGAAAGTCTTCCTCGGCCTCATGCCGGTGCCGTGCTTCGGACTGCTGCACCGCGCCAACCCGCTCTACAAGATGACGGTGCAGAAGTCCGTGCGCGACGTGCGCGCCTACGTGGTGTGTGCGGTGCTGAAGAACATCCGCTTCAACGAGCGCAGCTACCGCAGCTTCATTGACTTCCAGGAGAAGCTGCACTCGGGCCTCGCGCGCCGTCGCACGCTGGCGTCGGTTGGCACGCACGACTTGGACAAGATCAACCACAACGAATTCATCTACACACTTCTGCCGAAGGAGAACATTCGCTTCGTGCCGCTCAACCAGAAGGGCCGCATGCTTGACTGCAGCGGCGATGGCCTCGCAGAATTCTACAAGGAGGATCGGAACATCTCTAAGCATATCCCACTCATATCTAACCTCGCCCACTACCCTGTTGTGATGGACGGCAAGTCGCGAAACATTCTCTCCCTGCCGCCCATCATCAACTCCGACCTTTCATGTATCAGCCAGGAGACTAAGAACATCTTTATTGAGTGCACTGCACCAGACCACTACAAGGCGAGCGTGCTGGTGAACCAAATCGTGTGCGCCTTCTCTTCGTACTGCGAGGAGCCTTTCACGGTGGAGGCGGTGCAGGTCGACTATGAGGAGGCGGCGCCGGACGGCACCACGTCGGAGGTGACACCAATCTTAGACCCCGCCGTCGTATCGGTGCGGGTCCCAAAGGTGGAGAGGCTTATCGGCATCAAGCTCGACTCGCCGCAGCAGTGCGGCAAGCTGCTCGAGCGCATGTTGCACCGCGTCCAAAAGGTGGAGAATGACGTTGTCACAGTTGAGGTGCCGCCCACGCGGCCGGACGTGCTCGGCCCGACGGACCTCATGGAGGATGTTGCAATCGCCTACGGGTACGACAACATCAAGTACGTCGAGTGCACCACGCGGGGTGATGTGACGCAGCAACCCGTCAGCAAGCTGGGGCACCTCCTGCGTATTGAGATGGCCAACGCCGGCTACACGGAGCTTTTGACGTTCTCACTGTGCTCCCGCGACGACGCGTTCACCCGTCTGAACCGCGAGGACAACGACACGGCCGTCCACATCGCCAACCCGCAGACGATGGAGTTTCAGGTGTGCCGCCCTTCGCTGATGCCAGGCATTCTCAAGACACTTCATGCCAACAAGTCACATCCTCTGCCGCTACGCTTCTTTGAGTGCGCAGATGTGGTGCTGATAGACAATGAGACAAACTTCCCGCCAGCGGTCACACCAGCATCGGAGTACCCGCGGTGCGGCGCGCGCAACCAGCGCCACGTTGCCGCGCTGCATTGCTGCAGCGAGTCCAGTGGCTTCGAGGACATTCACGGTCTTGTTGAGTTCGTCATGGTGAAACTCGGTGTCCGGCGGAAGGGCGATGAATCGGCGGAGGCGGACGGTAACGAAGACACGTACACCCTGGAGAAGGGCGTCGACGGCGCCTTCTTCCCCGGCCGCTGCATGGACATATTCCTCCAACGCAAGGGGCAGAAGATTCGTCTCGGAAGCTTTGGCGTGGTTCACCCGAACACACTCAAGGCGTATGACATTCCGTTCCCCTGCTCGTTCATGGAGATGAACATCCAGTTTGCACTGTAGGTGAGAGAATGAAAGAACGAGAGAATGAGAGAGAGAGAGAGAGAGAGAGAATGAGCCAAGGAAAAGAGCCCACCGGCAGCGGCATCATCGGAAGGTCAAGAATGGAAAATGGGGGGAACGTCGCTGAATGAGCGTGATTCACATTATTCGTATGGGGGTCTGACATGAGGTGCGTGTGAATGTTCGGAGCCCATGGAGATAACACACACGAAGAAAAAAAAAACACGGAAGAGTGAAACAATGAGAAATGCAAAGAACACAAAAAAAAAATGAACAACATAAAGCTGCTTCTTTCTCTTTTCTCCTCACTTGAAGGTGTCGGAATGCCGTTCTGTGGCGACACATAGCGAGGCACAAACGAGGGAAGAGAATCGATGGGTTAGAAGTTTCTTGGTAAGGTCCATTAACTACCTTGGCGAGGGCCCCCGCTGCGTCCCCGTTGCCTTATTTCTTTCCGCGCTTGGAGCAGGTAAGAATGGGGAGGTGGGGCTGGGGATCGCTCCTCTTGTGCGATAGGTGTCATATCTTTTGGCTTCTCTTCTTTTTTGATGTTCATTCTGCCTTGTATTGTTCTTACATAGTGTGGCCGTGCGAAGTTGTGTGCTTGGAGGGGGTCCTTGGGTCCTTTTTTTTTCTCGTGGAGAGCTTGTGATGTCGGCCCCGTACAAGAAAAAGAAAGATACGTCGAATGTCCCGTGCATCCACTTCCAGAAGGGTATGTGCAGGAACCCGCGCTGCATGTACAAGCACGTGCGTGTACAGCAGACGGATGGGAAGTCAGGCGTTATTGGCGCAGCATCTGCTGGCAAGGGACCCACCGACGCAGCGACAAACGTGCTCTCCACGATGCTGAAGCTGGTGTTCGAGAAGCAGCAGCAGCGCGTCTATGACGCGGCAACAGGTATGCTGGACCTGCGTGAACTGAAGAAACTGCCGGACCTACACGATGTGGCCGGTTCGATTAACTTCAACACACAGAGTTTCTGCCGCGCGCTGTGCACGACGATTAAATCACTCATTGTTCCGCCACCTTCAGCCTTACAGCTGAAGGGAAATAACATTACGTCGATTTACCACATAGCGAATCAGCTGGAGAAGGAAGAACTGCACCTCTCACTGCGGGCTATTTCGCTGGAGTCGAACGAAATTAAGGCAGTGGATTCTCTACAAGAATTAAGGAATTTTACGAATCTTCAGGAGCTGGTGCTTGCGGGGAACCCCGCTGCCGAGGCCAGTGATTACCGCAATAGGGTGAAGAAGATGATACCATTTCTGCTTGGTCTGGACGGTGAATCCATGATGGCGCCACCGCTGGCCTTGCCATGGCCACAGTTTGTGGGCTCACAGTACAGCGACGCGCAGAGGCATGTCCTGCAGTTCGTAGAGTGCGCCCTGCTGAAGCCACTGGAGATGGACGAAACATCGGAGGAGATTGTGCGAAGAGGTGTGGACGCGGTGTCAGACATATACGCGCCCAACTCTATCCTTACAATCTCTCTGCCATCACAAGAGGCTGCTGTGAGCTTACCGGCGAAGACGACGAGTGGCAAGCCGGTGACGTCTCAGCAGCGCAATGTGATCCGCGAGATAGTTGGGCTCCGCTTGAGGCAGACGGAGAGTAACCACAACCTTATGCAGGGCATCAAATCGAGTGTTGTGGCATGTGGTCGAACAAAGGTTTGCTTGCAGCTGGAGCACTGGTTGTACCCAAAGAACTATGATGTGAAGCACCTCATTCACAGCAGCGCAAGTGCATCGTTTCTGGACAACACATATCTTGACGGACCCTCAACCGTGGCGATGAAAACGCCTGTAACAGTGGTAACGATTCACGGCGTTATGGTGTGGAGTTATAACAACCCGGAGAACCCGCGTAGTTTGGATCGCGTGGTGATTCAGCGCAACTTTTCCCGTGTGATCACCGTATCACAAAGTGAAGCCGGACGCTGGTTGATCACAAACGACATGGTCTCGTTGTATCCATTTGCTGGTTTGAGTGCGCATCCACCAGGGCCTGGGAGCGCGGCGGATATTGCTGAAGTGGCAAATGATGCAGGGGAGTGCCGTATCCTGTTCGACCCACGAATCGATCGGGTTCGCGCAGAACCACTCAGCCGGCAGAAGAATGTACCAGTGGAGGTGGTGGTTGAACTGAGCAAGCATGTGAACAGCGACGTGGAGCTGATCACTGTGCTGAATGATCTTGGCGGTGTACCACTGAGTATGTTCGAGCACTGCGCATTATTGGCGCAGACTGATACCCTTGAGAGTATCCAGGTGTGCCGCATCGGCAATCGCTTCGGCTTGCCGCCGCATGAGGGATTAGAGCTGTTGCGGGCAGTGGGTGGGAGTTGGGTGGCCGTGGAAGAAGCGATGGCAGCTAGAGGTATGTAGTTGTGTAAAGCAACACGCTGTAGTGGTCTGGCCAGTACTGCACTGACTCCCGTCCTCCTTCGCTCTTGTTTTGGTGGATTTGACATCCCCAAACCTGTTACCACCATGCGGTTTTGAATGCCCGCGGCCGCCCCACCAGACTTGGATTTTTAGATCGATAAAGAGGGGAGTGGGGGCTCGCTTTCCGTGGATGCGAAAAACAAAAAAAAGAATGAAAGTATGGATTCTACGTCTCGGCGCCCTTGGGATAATAAGAACATAAGATAAGAGCGCATGGATGGCTTCGTGCGGTGGGGGCGGGTGGCGGTGTGAAGAGAGATGAGATGGCTTTGGTGGGTAGCACGCTGCTCCAAGTGATGTGTGATTTTTTTTT